TGACGTTATTGCCTCCTTATGATAAATCACTTGTTGCATTCCTCACTTGTAAATTGCTTTGGATAAAAGAATAAATGTAAACATACACAATCAAATCATAACAGTTTTGCTCATATCTGTTGTGTTTACAGGGGATAGATGACATCACAGGAGAGCCATTGATTCAACAGGAAGATGACAGACCAGAAGCCCTAGTGGCCAGACTGAGACACTACAAAGATGTTGCCAAACCTGTCATAGACTTTTATAAGTAAGCTCATAACTGAATTACCTCACATTTTGAGTCTCACCAAGTCTCAACCAGTGTGCTTGTAATGTTCTTCTGTAACTCTGATTCAAAAACCTTGTTCCCCTGTTTACGAAAAAGCATTGTAATTCTATGTTAAAGGGCTAAAGGCATCCTGTACACATTCTCGGACACAGAGACAGATCAGATCTGGCCGAATATCAGCACACTTCTCAGCACAAAGATCCCCACCATCCAATCAGATGCTCGATGTGCTTCAACTCACTGAGGGAATCCTCTGACAGTCTCAAATCAAAGACAACGGCACTAATTGACCACATTTGGATTCCAAAGATTCCATGCATTTTTATCGTCGCAACTTGTCCATTGGTAGTATAGTATTATTCATTGTGCTAGCTTTGATTATTTCAGTTCCTGAAAAGTTTTTATACATTTGAAGGACTTGTTCTCTGCTTTTAGCATTTGCTGGAATCTGGGAATCAGTCGGGGTAAAATTCAACTTATATCTTACAAGTACAAGAGTTCTAAACGTGTTAATGGTTCCTAGATTTCAACTCAGAGTGCACAAATTTTATATAGACGTGATTAAATTGCATATGAATAATGAAGGGTAGACGCATGTGACCTTGTGTAAGTGAACGAGACACTGAACTGTTCAAGCATTCCAGTGAGATTGAATTATTTCTGAAGGGGCTTTGCTTTACTTTATATCATCTCTGTCTGTGATGTTTGCCTTTCTTATATATTTCATAGTAGTGTTACAATTCTTCTATATACCATAAAAATGCTATAATTATTTGTATGTGTTTTACAAACTCTATAATCCAAATATCCCATGCCTTGGAGAAGTTCAGTTTCTTGATCTGCTGAAATCGGCTATTGTGAACACCAGGCCTTATTCTTTGAGATACATTGATAGAATGTTTAACTGTGTTAAAAATCAGACCAATATATGAGTAACACTTTTAGCAAATGGCAATATATAAGTATAATGTGATCAAATAATCCTATACCATATCAGATCTTCTTTAAACACTGCCTTCTTTCGTATATACTGTTCAGCATTGCCGCTTTAATAGCCATATCTGAGAGAGCCGTTGATAGAAAAGAATCTAATGGGGTTAACTGTGACTGTTCAGCCAGAACAACAGTGATGGTTTTGTTTTTTATCCAGAAGATTAAAACACAGACTTGATCAAAAACCACAGATTAAATTACAATTAGATTACATTTTTTTGTCCCTGAAACATAGAGAAGCTGAAGGAGTGTTAGGCACACATGACTTTATAGTTATCAGTCTATCTTTATTTCACTCTGTTTTTCTTTTATTCTTTCTTGCTTCCTGTTCAATCTCCCATGTTCTGTTTCAGTCTATGTCAGTCTTACATCCCAGACGATATGGAATGGAAAAAACACTCAAAATATCTCCACACCTTCTTGTTGTGCAATACCATATACAAGAATTTACATGCTTGAGCTTTTCTTTTTTTCCAAAGAAAATAAACGTATTTTCGCAGAAATGTTGAATGTCGTCTTTTGATTTGAATTGAATGCTTATTATTAATTTTCACAGGAATTTGTCTTTGGACCTCCACAAGTGGTATACTAAAAACTTATCTTCACAACACATAAAAACAATACACACATAACATTATAATAAACCACTAATGTCGACAATTATTCAGTAAACTGATGATGGAACACACACACACACACA